TAAGTATATTATAAAAGAATATTTTATTATATATCTTCTGATGATACTAATTTGGTATTGTAAGGCTACGTTTAGCACATCTCCTTGAATTGCGCCGACGGGAGCGACAGGGAGGAGAGGAAGTTGGAAAAACTAGCTTCACCCTATGCACGTGGACGACAGTTGGATGGCGGCGGTCGGGTGAAGACTTGGGCGGGTGTTGTCGATCGAGGCAAAGCTTGGGGGAGGGGGGGTGGGGGTGGGGGAGATAAAATAAAAAGGAAGAGGAAGGCTGGATGTGCGAGTGAGAGATACAGATAGGAAAGGAAGAGGAAGAGATAAGGCAAACAGGAGGAGGAAAATGAATAAGTAGAGGAAGATACAAAAGAAATTATGAATATTTTTATGTAAAGATGTTTTACCAAATGTTCTCCTAACTAGTGAAGCTGGAGTTATTATAAAAAACTGTTTCATTAGAGCATTTCTAAGAATTCTCTATTTCCCTTCCTAATCCTTGCATTGGTTTTAGCAAGATAAAAAAATCCATCTCCAACAACTCCTAATCCATCCTCCTAATCTTTTAGAACTTAAAAAAAGTCACCATGTTGCGCGTAGAGTTACGCGCTTCTAAGTCGCACGTATCCGATGCCGTGGCGCGGTTTTCTCCTTCCCGCGACGTTTTCTTCCTTCCCGGCCCTTCCTTTGCCGCGGTTTCCGTCATCGCGCCATTGTTCTTCGTCGAGGGCAGAGGATCTTCGCCGCCGCCGACCAAGGAAGAGGTAAAAACTCCATCGATCTACTGCTCCGTTCTGGTATTTTGCCGTTCGTAGGGCTTATCCACGCCGCCGCCGCCGTGGACGAGCTGATCGAGAAGGCGGACGGGTTCGCGGGCATGTTCCCATAGCACAAGTACGAGATCGTTCGGCGGCTGCAGGAGCGGAAGCACATCTGCGGGCGCCCGCGCTGAAGAAGGCGGACATCGGGATCGGGGTGGCGGACGCGACGGACGCGGCGCGGGGCGCGTCGGACATCGTGCTCACGGAGCCCGGCCTGAGCGTCATCATCAGCGCCGTGCTGACGAGCCGCGCCATCTTCCAGCGGATGAAGAACTACACCATCTACGCGCCATCTTCGTCTGCTGCTAGCTTGTCTTGGTGGCCGGCAGCCAGCAGCTTTTTTTGCATTGGACTACTTGCCTGCTGCATGGTACTGTGCTACTGCTTGCCTGCATGCTAGTGTGCTCTGCTGATGGCCGCTTCATGGTACTGTCCTCTGCTGATGGTACTGAACTGCTACTGGCCGGTAAATACTGCTGCTCCGCTGATGGCTAGCTGCCTGACTGGTGGCCGGCGGCCTGTGGCTCAAGGTCGGGAGGTATGGCCGGCCTGCTGGGAGGTGCCGCCAGTCTGTGGCTGGGAGGTGGCCACGGCCGGCTGGAACTGAACGGCGCTAGGGCACGACGAAGGAAGGAGGAGCGGCGGCGGCCTCGAAGGCTCTCGCGTGGAAAAAATTGCCGAAAAAGAAAAAACTCAAGTGGACCAAATTTTAATTTTTTTTAGAGTGGAATATTGGATACTATTGGAGATGAGCTTCTTTTTTTCTCTTAATATCTTTTTAGGAGTTGGAAAACATGGTGTTTTTAGGTGGAAAGTTTAGAAAACTCTTGAATATGCTCTTAACTTGAGTTTTCTTTGAAAAAATATATATTAATATTTGTAATACTAAATAAATATATTTTTAAGATGAATTTGAAGTTATAGATGATTGTGCATTTTCTATAGAATTAATTAAAATAGAGAAGTTTGACTTAGAACAGAATTAAAATGACATAATTAGGTATTGATGGAGTAGTATATGTGACTCACACTACTACACAAACTTTACTGGAGGCGAGTGTTTTTGGTTTTCCGCGGCGGATAAAGCCGTCCGCCGCGGCCTAGAGGCCACGGTAAATCGTGGCTTAACCGCGGCGGGCGGCCTTGCCCGCCTCGGTTAACCGATTTAACGCGGCGGACGGTGTAACGTGCCCGCCACGGTAGATATACTTTTACCACGACAAATATACTTTTATCACGACAGGCACGTTAGGATGCTCGCTGCGGTTAATCATTTAAAAAAAACAAAAAAAACCAGGAGCCCGCCGGCGAGCCTGTTCTCGAGCCCACTGGCGAGCCCACCGGTGGATCCCGGCGTCGTGGCCGTGGTGGAGGGAGGCCGCCACGCCGAACCGTCCTCGCCCGCCGGATCTGGCCACCGCGCGCCGCCACCGACCGGATCCGCCTTGGGACGCCGTCACCGGCCGGATCCACCTTGTCGGTGCGCCGCTGCTCGAGGAGGCGCTTAACTGCGCAAGGGTCCTCAAGCAAAGACCATCTTGAGCGGTCCTTGACGCCACCATGTCCAGAACGCCTTGAGTCCCGCTCCTTGTCCTTGTACACGAGCTTCGGTCCTCGGGGTGCAGCCCGTCCGCGCCGACAACAACTTCTTCACTCACTGCAGGAGAGCATCGCCGCCATCTCGATCGAAAGCAGCTCGTGGTAGCTAGGATCGCCAGGCGCGGTGCACTCTACGGGGATTACCGAAGGAGGCTGCGAGTTGATGTAGATCTAGACACCGTTGAACTTGACCTTGACGCGGATGGTGGGGACGGGCACACCGGCGGGGCGTCCCGCGTCGGGGCTCCGCTTCACACTAAAGATCCGCTGGCAGCTGCGAGAGAGAGGGACAGAGAGAATCAAATCAACCGCTCCTCCTGCACTCACGCCAAACAACAACAACCAAGAACGGGCAAGCGAGTCAGCTCAGCTCGCTTTCTCGGCTGTCCCCAACGATCTCGGCCCCAGCGCGCGCGGCGGGGCTGATTGGGCGGCGCCGGATCTGGGGAAGACAGGGGCGCACGGTTTGCAGCTGCAGCTCGCGGCACAGAGAGTGAGATGAGAGAGGGAGGCGCGGCTGCTGGGAGTAAGAGTGAAACCCTAGTTTGTGTATATATATGACGACGGAAATAGTGGCCTCGCTTTGGGCCTCCGATTTTCCGTGGCGGGCCTTCAAATGATGCCCGCCGCGGTAAATCGATTTACCGTGGCGGGCGCCTTAAGACGCCCGCCACGATAAATAGGGTATTTTCCGTGACGGACGTCTTTAGGCGCCCACCGCATTAAATCGATTTACCGTGGGTACATAGGGTATTTTTCGTGGCGGACGTCTTTAGGCGCCCGCCACGGTAAATCGATTTACTACGGCGGGCAAAAAAGGTTCGTCACGGTAAATAAAAAATGCCCGCCTCGGTAAATCGCTGTATTTACCGTGGCGGGCAAACTCAGTGCCCGCTACGGAGACCAAAAGTGCAACGCTGCGCAAATTCAATCTTGTAGTAGTGTCAAGATCTAGATCTTGATTTGAGATAGAACATGCAAACTCTGATTTGTTTTTAAAGTGTGATGTTGTGATCATGGGACAAACCGTGAATTATGTAAGCCATGCATATTACTGGTAACTCTGAATGCTTTTTAACTGGTACACATTTTCTATTGTCTAAATATCTGAATTTGATGTCAATTTCAGGCGATGCACAAATCAGCCAGCACCAACATCATTGGGCGGAGTTAAGGGAGGGATTTCATGGTTGTCGAACTTAAATTAGGCGAGACCGCGAGAGCTGTCAGTCATGGGTGGCAGTGAACATCTGGATGGGAAAGGTCGCGGCGAGGGCAACGATGCCTATTGGATTGGTGTGACGGAGGATGATGATTACTTGATTAGCATGTAGCCCTGGCGACAAATAGTCAAATACACCGCTCAATCGCTCATGCTGGTCGAGTACTTGTAATTCAGCAGCTACCGGCAAGGCACATGAGACTAGGCCCCGTTCGTTTCGTTGAAAAGCCACTGTTCGCTGATTTGTTGCGAGAGAAAAATACTATATCATAGGTGATAAGCGAGGCTGAAAAGTACTGTTCGCTGATTTGTCTGAGCCAAGTGGCATGCTGCTGCTGCTGCTGCTGAATCTGACATTGAACAGATCGAATGCAGTTTCAGTGTCGTGGTCCATGGCAAATTCTCTATCTTACTGGTTCATGAAAACTGAAGGGGTTCCACTTCCATCCATCCCATATCTGAATGTGGTATTCTGAACATGCAGTCTCGTTTCAGAGCAACCGGTGTCCTGATTTCGGACAGCAACGCCAAGGAAGTGTATGCATCCAGTCTGACCTCCCTGTTTGGTAGAGAACATAAACTGTCCCAGAAGGGTATGAAGCTCGAATTGCTTGCTTCTGCAGTTCTGCTCCGTTGTTTTTAGTTATTGTTCCTTTTCTGTTGTACCCTACCGCAGAACAATTCTTCAGAGCTTGACTATGAGGCTACTATTGTTTCTGCGGATTAGCAAATAGTGAAGGAATTACTGCATAATTCGATACATGTGCTCTTTGATATTCTCTGATGTGTTTCTATCCAGAGTTTTAGCTTCAGCCTCGTGTCATTAGTCTCTTTCAGAAGTAACTTGTCCTCTGCGACTGCGTGCATTCCTCAATAACTCAATTCTATTGAAAAGGTCCAGTCATAGGCTAGCTGTAAGTTCAAAGTGCAGTTTTCAGAAAGTGAAATAAACAGACGATTTGTAATCTCATTACAAACAATAGCTTTCTTTTCCAAACGCATCACTGGTCCGGATTTATACATGAGTACACCCATATATATCTTACATCAGTTGCCAATTAGCAACTGCTGCGTCGGCAAACAAATCACCAGCACGGCAGCACCCTAGGTGAAGGTGACAAGCTGACATCAGATTTCTATGTCGAAAGAATCAGCAAACCAATAATGACCAATTACACACAGCATGCCACACACCAACCCAAAACAATCATCATCATCACACGGGACGAGAAACAGAGACGCTACTGGAGAACACAGTCAGGAATGTCCTGAACCAGTGAACCACTACCTGCTACCTACAGCTCATCACAAATGGCGACGGAAAAGTACAGCAAAACTACAGAGAGGGTGTGTTGTATACAGGCCTACGTGTTGGGATTGGGTGGAGTTGTGTACAAGCAGGCCGTCAGGCGAGCATGTCGTAGGGCCGCTCCCCGTCGATGCGTCCGGAGGATGACGTAGAGGGAGTATACGATGCCGGGGACGTAGCACAGCGCCGTCAGAAGGAGGGAGATGAAGAACTCTGACTGCATACACACGGGAACAGACAGCACAGAAAGAGAGTGCAAATGGTGTCGCGGTGTGTGGTGGAGGTGAGGAATGCTTACGCTGCAGCAGCCGTAGCGGAAGAAGACTCCGAGCGGCGGGAGGACGACGGCGAAGATGACCTCGAGGCAGGTCGAGCAGCCGCCGGAGCTCATCCTGCCGGTGCCAGGCCTCCGAGGCCGCAGAAGGCCGGAAGCTTAGCTTAGCTTAGGTAGTGCGCCGGCGGCCAGCCGGTGTCTCTGCCGGACTCGGGGTTGACCGATGTTAATTTGTATACGAGGGGACAACTGGGCAAGGGAATGATGCGGAATCCGACACTGCCTGGCAGGAGAAGATGCCGATGGTACCGTTGCATCTCAGGACTCAGGAGCTGCTGGGCCCCGGGGGGGTGTGCATCAATGGCTCCACCCCCAACAGCGGGTATATTAATGGAAATATGGAGAGGGTGAGGGAGAAGAAGAGGTGGAGGGAAAAAAATAGAGAGAGAAAGAAGAAGAGATCAGCCCCCCTCAATCATGTTTTGCATCCGCCACTGCATGCGGCCATGTCAGCGTGGCTACTCCAGATCTTGGCAAGCGGGCATGGTAAGCCGGTAACGAGTCAGGATCAGATCCGGTAACCTAACAACGGTTAGCTCGTTGTGTTTTACTGATTTATTACTCCTTCTATATTCAAGATTATAAGACCTTTTTATTTTTGTAGATATACTATGTCCATCTATATGCATAGTAAAAATAATATATCTTGAAAATTATATTGTCTTATAGTTTAGAACATAAAGAGTATTTCGTGTTTTTCTTTTGTCTATAACTCTATACAGATGCGACACCTGGGCAGAGCTAGTAAATATGCCTTGGCCTTAGGTCTTGTTTAGCCCAACTCCTTTAAGCTTTGGCTTCACCCTACAATCTAGAGAAATCGAAGCGGAGGAGCCACAAACTATGGCTTCTCCCTGCTCCACATTCGTTTTGGGAGGTGAAAGAAAAAAAAAAGCTTATGTGAACAGTGTTGCTACAATCACCGGCTGCTAATCCCACAAGCCACTCCGGGATATAGTCTAGCCAAAAAAGGGCGCGCCCAGCCACGCTTGGCAGTGAAGTGGAAGAAGCCGGATGCGGGCCAGGTGAAGGTGAACACCGACGCTGCCTTTGATGCTGCATCCGGCACTGGCAGTGGTGGGGTGGTGATCCGTGATGAACAGGGGCCGGTGATTGCAGGAGCTGCTCGCTGGTTTGATCATGTCCCGGATGCTCTCACTACCGAGGCGATGGCGGCAAAGGAGGGTCTTGAATTAGCGATGGAATCGACTGTGAAAGAGTGATCCTTGAAATTGACTGCAGCGTTTTGAAGTCCCTTCTGGAGAACAGTGAAGGCATGAGGTCCTCCATCGGAGGTATTTGTTTTGATATTACAGAGCTAGACAGGAGTTTTGTTGATTTTAGAGTTGCATGGGTGGGTAGGGATGCTAACTTAGTGGCACACTGCTGTGCACGTATGGTGATCTGATCGTTTGGTTGATGAGTTGATGAAGTACCAAACGAAACCATGCAATATTATACTTGAAGAGGACCCATTCATGGGTTTAAAGCGACCGCTCGGCTACCCCACCTAGCGCTGGCGGCCCGCTATATAGTTGCGCTATAGCCGTTTGGTGAGTGCCTGGTTTAATGGATCATCGTCTATTAGGGTTTTCATTTATATATACTTCCTGTAAACCATCGTCTTGGGATAAGAAAAGTTATAAATCCCCGACGTTTGTAACCTCACCCGATATAGTGAAGATTTGCTGGTTGATGCCCGTGGTTTTTTCCTTCTTCCTCGGAAGAGTTTTCCACGTTAAAATCTCGTGTTCCATGTGTTTAATCTATTATTCTTCGTTGTTATATTGCCTATTGTTTCTAACATGTACAGGTAGATCGTTGGGGTGTGGCCTTTGTTGGCCTGCACGGTGTCCAAGGAAGAGAGCCAAAGCCCCTTCCTCGGTGTCGGCTCGCTCGGCGCTACAAACGACGACTCTAGCACCTGCACATCGAAAGCCATCCATCCCATCGTTTTCTGCAAGGGACACGACAGAGAGTTAATAATGCTCGAGATCACATGTATCAGCCATTTCCTGAAAATAGTGTGGCGACCTCTAAAATACAGTATGCGGCACAGGTAGAGTTTCGGATCCATGTGCTAGTAGATGTCTAACGGCAAAGTAACTAAAGGCAAGGGGCCGGACTTACGACTGTGAGCATGCATGGTCTGCAATAAACCAAGAACCTTACCTCCGTTGTGCGATGGCAGACAATTCGGATCGATGGGCAGTGGGCCGGCGTGCACGGGCGGGGAGCTAGGGAGGAGCGCAGGATGGAGTTGCGGGCTTGCGGGGAGCCAAGTTAAATAACGGAGTCGTCCCTGCATGCGCGCGCACATGAATAATATAATAATAATAGATAGAAGAAGACAGAGAAGAGATTAAATAAGAACACGAGCTCAGATAGGTGCCCCCTCCCTGCGTGCGTGCCGCCTGTTGCGGCTCCCTTCCATGTGCAGCGAGCTATAGTTTTTCAAATGGGCTAGGCCCGATGGGTCGACACGGGCACGACCCTAAAAAGCACGGCACTAGCCCGGCCTGACCCGCTAGGCATCGTGCCCGTGCCTGGCACGGCCCGCAGCCGTGCCCGTGCCTGGGCCGCACATTCGGCCCATGGGCCAGCACGAGGCACGGCATGAAAAAAGGCCTGGCACGGCTTCGAGCCATCATGGCCGTTGGATCCCTCGACCCCTGCGATTCTAGCCGTTGGGGTGGGGGTGTATATAAGCAGCGTCGTCGGCCGGCTCCCCCTCGCACCCCAAACCCTAAATCATTCTCGCCCTCCCCCGCCGCGCTCTCCTCTCGCTCTCTCTGGCTCTCCTCTCCGATTCCGGCGGGCGGCGGATTTATTCGACTCACGCGGCGGCGGCGGCGACCATACCACCCCCCCCACCTCTTCTTCTCACCCTACGGCAGCTCGGGGCTCAAGATGCAGTAAGAGCACTCATCTTCTTCTTCTTCTTCTCGCCCTCCGGCAGCTCCGGCACGGAAGATGCTTTCTCTTCCTGATCTTTTTCTTCTTCTTTCTTCAGATCCGTTGATTCGCAGCTGCTCCGAGCTCCGTCTACGTCGCCGGCATCGTTGAGGTAAGAATCCGCAGTAAACCCTAACCCTAACCGTTCTTGTTCTTTCTTTAGTTCTTGATCTTGACCGCCTTCTTCTTCTTGTTCTTGAATCTTGATCTAATGATCTACTTCTTCTTGCTCATGTGCACTTGTGCAGCCGTTTGAGGCCAGTGGCGATGTCTCCCCGGCCCCCCTCTGAAGAGACAGACTCGAGGCTGCCTTGTCTGCGTATCTTTATTAGTTTAGTCTTTATATTTAGCTTGAACTAGGCTCTGTAATATGAGAACTTGGACTTGGACAATGATGTAAGAACATTGAACTTTAATGGAGCTAGGCTGTACTCTTTTTCTGACTAGGATTTTTCACAAGGGTGAGTTTTACCTAGCAGATTTTTAATGAGGCAGTCATTGCACATGCTCCAAATATATTCCTATTTTCTTAACTCTGTGTGTTTGCTATGTTTTCCTGACTAGTTGAGTTGTGCACTTATGCTGATGAACTTGGGTTAAAAATGTGTTAGTGCCTGAGCCGGCACGGCACGGGCGTTTCCCCCGTGCTAGTGCCGCGCGCGCACGGCTTCCCCTCCATAGTGCACGTGGCACTGGCTGCCACACGCGGCGCGGCAGGCACGGTGCGCCGCGCATAGTGCAGGCGCTGTGCCGCGCATAGTGCCGTGCCGTGCCGGGCGGCCCATTTGGGCGAAAAGATTACAGCGAGCGGGGGAAGACGATTACGGGAGCAGCTTAAGGGGCTCGCAGGGTTGACGCGGCCCGGCACGTCGATGCTCCACCCGACGCACGCACATGCCCCAGAACGCATCGTGAGAGCGCCAATCCTGACCTGGCACTGAAGATGCCGATGGAGAGGCCCGGCCCGGCGCTGATCACCGGCGAGCTTTCTTGGAGTCGATCCGGGCTAGCCGTAGCGCTAGAGGTTTTGTGTCGGTGGCTTTCAAGCTAGGCCCTCGCGTGGACGTGCTGCGCCTGCAGTAGCCGCCGATAGGACCGATGACCTAGCGATGAGTAATTGACAGAGGGAATCACACAGATGCAGTTGGAGCCGATGCTTCGGGCGATATGGTCTACAACTGCTCTTTGCCGATTTGCTGCTTCACTTGTACTGTACAAATGAACTGGATGTTAGACCGAAACATACATGCATGCGCCTCTAGTTTTTGCATGTCATTTTGCACATATATAGACAAAGACAAACAAAATACAGTAAGAACTAGGAACAAACAACAATCCTGAAGGCTTGCCTCTATTTTTGACCCCATTCGTTGCCCACCACTGGAATTCATTGTTAGTCCCTAGCATTTGTCCATCTGATTGAAAAACCCTAATGTATAAAAAACAAACAGGATTGATTAGATATGCATATGTGGAGGTGGACGGTGTGTGTAAAAAACTCTCCATTCTTCTCTTAATTAAATACATGCAAAGCGCGTTCTCGGGAAAAAAAAAGAGAGTGTTGGGTCCACGCGAGCGAGAGGCAAAGCTCCTTTATTCAGCTCTTCTTCCCCTTATACAGAGCTTCATTAATCAATGACATGAGTACAACCAACGGCCGCAAATCCCACAAGCCACTCCGGGATATAGTCTAGCCAAAAAAGGGCGCGCCCAGGCACGCTTGGCAGTGAAGTGGAAGAACCGGATGCGGGCTAGGTGAAGGTGAACACCGACGCTGCCTTTGATGCTGCATCCGGCACTGGCAGTGGTGGGGTGGTGATCCGTGATCAACAGGGGCTGGTGTGGCCTTTGTTGGCCTGCACATCGAGCTTTACAGCCTTAACAACGGAAACGGAAAGGATCGGAACGCATTAACCTTTTTTTACATAAAAAAGGAGAAGAGCCAAAAGTCTTTTCAGCCATAACAAAATGTAAGAACTTGTCCACTTATTACAAGTTTGCCACCTGGCCTATCTAACAAACTAATTCTTCGAGGGATGATCTCATCCTCTATCTTGGCAGATAAGTCCTGTGCAGATTGGCGCAAAGCCCGTGCATATTGT